TATATATACACAGTATATAATTTTTTTTTATTGTGTAAGTATGTTTTAAGTATGTGTTATATTCATACATGTTATAGACAACAAATAAAGTTTTCTTCTAATGTGACGAACATGAATTTATTTTCTTGGATTGAAATATATAGTGCAAAATATATTTTTAAATGTTTTAAATTTTAAATATATTTATATTTTTAAAATATATTTTCAAAAATGCACAAAAAAAATGGGCAAAAAATATATATTGGTAGAAAATATATTTACGCAAATATATTTTGAAGCATATTTTAGCAAATATGTTTTTTGGCCATTTTTTTATATTTTAAAATATATGTGAAAATATTTTTTTTGCTGTATGGGAAACCCGTTTATGTGTGACTGACAAATATGCATCACTTTAAATGTATTTGTTTGTGTTCAAATGCATAAATCTTAAATTTAGACCTAAATATTTTTTGAATGTATTAACTGTTTAACAGCATTATATCGGCCATTAGATATTAACCCCACATGCATGAGTGAGTTTAACCTGTGGACTGGAAGACGTTGGCATTGCAGTTACAGTAGCGTGTGGCGAAGGCCTCCATCATGCGGTCGATCTTCTGTGCTTCACCCGGCAGACGGAAACTCCACAAGAACTGCCTGCAAAAGAACGAGACAAACAGGAATAAGACAAGTTCAGCTGCTCGTCTGTGGCTGAAGAAGAGCTCGTGTTCTCACCGTAACGCCTGGACCAGGTTAAGATCTGAAAACTCGTGCAACTCCACGAACGCTTTGAGAATCCGCAGGTGCATGTCCTCCCTGAAACACCAGACATGATCAGATACAGATTCAGACACAGACACACACAAACACACACACACACACACACACACCCTCTCACACACACACACACACACTGACACACACACACACACACACACACGCACTGAGAACACACACTGAGCCTCTCCAGACACACACACACACACTCACTCACACACACACACACACACAAACACACTCACACACAAACACACTGACACACACACACACAAACACACTGACACACACAAACACACACGTTGCTGGAATCAGCAACATCAGTGCTGTGAGGAAGGATGCTACAGTAGGCCAAGCAGAGACAGGGAGGAGTAAACGCAACAGACAGACAGTGACAACAAACAACAACATACTGTAGAGAATGGCAGTAACAGCAGACAAATGGCATAAACAGACAGCACACACTCTACAACATCCTCAGATTCTTTTTCTTTTGTTTTTACTGTATGTGTAAATTTGTTATAAACGTGTCACACACACACACACACAGACACACACACACAGACACACACAGACCTGAACAACACTACTGCAGTTTGAAGCTAAATGTCTCAGCCGTGTCTCTCTCTGTCTCAAATCTAAGGTTTACGGTAAAGAATGAAATCAGTCTCTCCTACAGTATGACGAATGTGTGGAGGTGAGTGTCTGTGAACGTTCCTCTCCTCATCTCACACTGGAACATCATCATCATCATCATCCTCCAGATCTCACCTTTTTAGGATCCATGTTGAATTTCTTCTTACCGCTACAGAAGCGTTTCTCCCTCTCCAGCATCTTACTGTGAAAGAGTCACGCAAAACAACTTCACAAGCAGAACATCTGACAGACTAATGAAGTAACTGACTAAAACTATTAGAAACATTTCTGTTAACTGAAATAATATATAAATATTAGATGAAAAACTAAACAAAAATTTGAACCTTGACAGCTAACTGAAATAAAGAAAAAAATACTAACTGGAAATAAATACAAAACTAAACTAAAATGTAAACTAAAAATGAAATAAAAGAATAAATTAGCCTAAATAGTAATATTTTAAAAATAATAATAATAATAATAACAAATAACAAAAAAACAATAATATTTTGTCATTTTAAATAAAATTGACAAAAGCACATAACAAAATTGCTAGTTATGTAACTAATAGTGTGTGTATGTGTGTGCGTGTGTGTGTGTGTGAAGCAGCAGCTGATGTTCATTTACCTCAATGTCCTCCAGCAGGATCTGCTTGTGCATCTTCAGCCCCTCGATCTCCATCTGCTCCTCCGCCGTCAAATCTGAGAAAACAGCAAACAAGACACAATCACACGATTAAACATCTGAACAAACATCAGTGTGTCTCTGCAGATTCACATCCAGCTCTATATAATGAGCTCATACTGCAGTGAGTTTCTACTCAACATGACATTACCAAAATAAACACTTCAAACAGATTATTGAGCAGATCAGAACCATCTGGAATCTACAGTAAAGCTGAAGACTGGAACAATGAGCTTCACACTTCGTGAGTCGTGTTCTGCTTCATGAAACAGGAAACCTGTTGTCATGGGGGCCGATGGCTCCTGCGTGAGGG